TTATTTAGCGTTGAAAGGATAAGGATGTGTAGGTGTGGGGTGTCACCAATGTGTCCCCCCGGGATGAAACTGTTTTGCGTGTTTTTGTGTTTTTTTTTCATGGACCGCACCAAACGGCTCGCCAGTGGAGAGACGTCAGCCTCAGTGCAGCTGAGAACAGAAAACACTTGTCAAGGTCATGATCTGTGCGTGTGTAGCAACACGACCGCGCTAGCCGATTCTCTGCTGCTGTGTGTGCTGTTTTCAAGGGATGGAGGAGGTGCAGATCGGCGTGGCATACAAGTTCGAGGGGAAGTGCCTGGACTCCATGCCTTCCAGCCTCAATGTAAGCCGCGTATGCGTTGGAAACGTGTACTCATAGTTGTACCCTATTTTTTTCTGTTTCTTCGTGGGGTCGTGTATGCCGGGTTTTGAGACCACGGGCTCCCAATCTTTCTTTTTTAGAGCTAATGTGAGAAACAACAAACAACAACAACAAAGTTGTGCATGCCGTAGTCATTAGACCACTGACCTCGTATCCCTACAAAGCCGGGACGGAGCACGCCGAGTTCTCACCAGACCAGGCTCTCACATCACCAAGCGCGAAGCACCGTGAGGTATTCGGCGAGTTGCGGGAAGGATTCGTCGGACACGTGCGAGGGATTATTACAGAGCGTGCCCTTGCCAGTAATGAGTGGTTCCACGTGCTGGATGTTGCCTTCCTCCTCCGGTGTGTGCGACCCCGGCTGATACGTCAAACTTGGTTTTGCTGGACGGTGTGAACTGGCGAACAGAGCCGTGGGTCGAATAAATAACGCTTTCTATGTACGTACACAAACACCCACACATAGTACCGCTGCACTCACACTATCCCGCTGCTTGTGTGGCCCGCAGCACGGTGTACACGCATTTTATCGCTAGCTGTCGAAATTAAGGAAAAAAAATTAGGAAGACTTCCCGTTCGAGATATACCCACAGCAATGTAGTTGGCGCGTTGCAAACGGGTGGGCGCTCACTCAACCACTCTCGCCTAGTGGGCTACATTTGTGCACACGTACCTTGTATTTTGCAAGTGTGTATGTTGTGTATATCCTCCGAATACTATTGAGGGTTCCGTGTACCTTGTGTCTTGAACAAGGCTTGCGTGTACCTGTTTTGAGCGCGGTTTTCTGTGCACCCTGTTGAACGAGGCTGGGGTATCACGTTTGACGAGGTGGTATGTCTCTTATGTACCCTTTTGAACGACACCAGCATGCACCCTTTTTACTCCAAGACGAGCAAAAGCACCAAAGGGCGCCTTCTCTCAAGTATTCGGTGTCGTCCACGCGCTGTGTTTTTCTTCGCGAATGTTGTGACTTGTTCTCCAGTGTGGTGTGCCTTGTTTTGGGTGTTTAGCGTGTGACCACGTCAGATTCGTGCATGTTCCGTGAGAGGGGAAGAAGAGGTAGCACATATAACCAGTAAGAAATAGCTGTTTTCTTTTGAAGACGCAACAATAACAACAACTGGTCTTTTCCCTGTGTGTGTGGTTTTTTCATTTTTTTTCGCGTTTGTGGGGAAAAAAAAAAAGGTGCTGAAGAACGTGCAGGTGGAGTACGAGGTTCTGGCTGGGTGGAAAGAAGACATCTCTGACTGCAAGGAGTGGGATGATCTGCCGACGAACGCGCAGGTTTACGTGCGGCGAGTAGAGGTGAGCCGGGAAGGGAAGGGAAGGAAGACATAATCGTGTTGTCATGTCATCCTGTCCACCCTGGAGACCAGCTGACTCCAGTTACAGTTTGGGCGCAGTAGCGGGGGTCGCACAGGCGGGAAGGCGGGGGCCACACAGAAGGGACAGCCGGTGGTTAGGTATGGTAGTTTTGGCTATCCTTTGTTGAGTGATTGTATCAAATCACCGCTTAACTTGTACGGCCAGTGAGGGTATTTCGGGGAGGGGGGCGTTGTTGAGAGGATTCTGGAGGGTGGCGTTGAAGGTTGAGGTTTACACGTGCCTGTGCACGGGTGTTGGCGAGAGCCGGCCACGATTCCGGGTACTTTTGGAAGGGGGTGAGGGCGGCTTTTTTCGGAGGCCCGCGTAGGGTTGATGTTGATGAGAGTTCGGGGGCCGTGTCGTCGTTCCCTCTCTTGTTGATTCCCTCCCTCCTTCGCTGGATCGCCGTCCCTCCCCCTCGTGCGCAACCAAACATCGACGAATATACATATATATATATTTCTCATGTGTTTGTTAATCTGGCTTACGCAGGAGCTGCTGGGGGTTTACATCCGCTGGATAGGCGTAGGCCAAGACCGGCTGGCCGTGATCGACCGTTACGACCGTTACACAGGGACCCCCTAAAGGTACTCGCGTCGAGAGAAGACGAAAGGGAGGGTTGGTGGGTGAAACGCCCCCCGCGTCCATGACCACGGTGTGATGTGTCTGCATCCATCCCGAATCTTGTGACATCGGGGCGACGGCGCCTCTTTTTCCATTTCTTTTGTCTCTCTCCGAAGACGGTCTTTTCCCGAAGCTTTGAATGTTTTTTGTTAAGCATCAGTAGGTGAAAATGGGTAGTAGCTGTTCGAGTGAAGAAGCTCATGCGAACAGCTGCGCCAAAGGCGGGTGGACGGGTAGGGGGTGT